TGTCCTTGGCCCCTCTAGGAAAACAAAAAAAAAACCCCCCGAAAAAAAAAAAAAAGGGGAATTGTCATTCGCCCTCCTGCGTAGGCCATGGGGGGGCCATGGGGCAGCTCCCAAAGGGAAGTGTTCGACACCAGCAGCCGGCCACAGGCGGGGCTCCTTGGGAGCAGGCGGGCACCCCCAGTGGCGGCTAGGCGCCAGTACGCAGTGTGGGGGTGGGGCCGCTGACCTTCCCTTCCTCCTCCTCGCCTCCTCCTCCTCCTCCTCGTTCCTCCTCCTCGTCTCCTCCTCTTCCTCCTCCTCTCCTCCTCCTCCTCCTCCCCTCCTGTCTCCCACCCCATCGTTACCGTGCGATGGCTGTGTTGGGGAGGGCCTCTCCAGTCGGAATCTTACTGGCTGTGTGTGTGTGTTGGGTTGTGGTGGGGGGGGGGGGGGGGGGGGGGTTTTTTGGGTGGGTTTTTATTATTGTGTGTGTGCTGTGGGTTGTGGGTGGGTGGGTGGTGGGTGGGTGGTGGGTGGGGTGGGTGGTGGGGTGGGGGTGGGTGGGGGGGGGGCCTCCCCCCTTCCGCTCGCCTGCGGCAGCGCCCCCTAAAGGCAGGTCCCAGCGGGTGCCTTGTCACGAAACGGGGGCTGGTCCCACTGATTCGGGCTGTTACCGGGAAGGAGAAAATCAACGAATTCCCCCCAGGCCGCTGGGCAATCAAGGTCACAGGGCCAGGGAGCCCCGGGATATGGCGCATTTCGCCCCCCAGGCTGCCGCCTAATAATTGTCACAGGTAGCCCCTGCCCTGGCCCACCGGCCGCGCGGCCGAAACAAGCGAGACAAGTTGCCAAAGCAGTGCATGACAGGTCGAATCGCGGCGCTTCTCGTGGCCCAGGGCCTCACGTGGCCTACTCTGAGATCTGCAGACTCGAAGTTCACATGTAGCTCTTAGCCTGTCGATTCGAATAGATCGACCGCAAGGCGCCGTAGTCGCGTCGTCTTCGGGGGTCTGGGCTGGAGAGTTGTCGTTGGCGCCTCTGGCGTCGTAGACGGCGCAGCTACCGTCGCTGCAGCCGGCGCCCTTGCGTTTTCCACTGTGGAGGAAGAGGTGCGTCACGACACGCACCGCGGCGAGGCGGGAGGTTCAAGCCGGGATGTTGTTTTCCCGCGCCAGATGCGCAGAGGCAGAGAGAGCCGCGGACTCCAAGTGGACGCGTGTAGCCCTCGGCCTGTCGGATGTCGAGTGGGTCGACCACACGCCACCGTCGCTGTGCAGCTGTCCGGGGTGGGGTCGTCGACTGGGACGGTGTCTCCCACACCGCACATGCAAAGGCAGAGGGCTACAGATGGTTATACGGGCTCCAAGTTCACAGTTAGCCCTCAGCCGGTCGATTCGAACGGATCGACCACAAGTTGCTGTCGTACGATCGTCGTCGGGGGGCGGGGGCGACGTGTCCCACGATACGGGCAAGCGTCGGGCAAGGTTTTAAGGAGGGTTGTCAGGGAGGGCCGGCGGGGGTCAGCATGAGTCTGGGCGTGTCGGGAGGAGGTAGACTGCACGCATTCGCAAAATAGGGGGACCCCCCTTTGAAGAAGGTAGCCTCCCTGCACCTCCGCGGCGCGGTAGCGGATGGGCCGGCACGCCTAAACCAGCGGATAGGCCGGCACTCCCAAAATGTCCAAGGAGAAGAGGTGCGGTGGCAAGCCCAAGGCCCAGCAGCCGCATGCTGGATGCTACGACATCTGTGTCTCATGTCCTCTAGCTCGGTCCTCGGTCGTCCGAGGTCTGGGGCGCCCTGCCTGGGGGGGAGGGAAGCGGCGGCGACGAGCTGGCCCAGGAACTCGGACCTCGATCCTCCCCCAGACATGCGACGCCCCGATTTTTTCAGGACGGCGTCCCCGCAAGTCCCGACCCTTTCCCCGGGACCGGTTTTGCTTCCTGAGTCATTTTTTGACGACCCGGAGGCCCGGCGAGGGCCTCCAGGGGCCGAAAACAGCCCCAAACCGCCCGTCCTGATTTTTTCACGACGCCATCATGTCTGGGCCGATGTCTGGGACGCGTGCTGGGCGGGGGGCGAGGAGGCGACGAGCCGTCACAGAGGGCCGGTCCTCGATCCTCAGGGGTCTTGGACGCCCGGGGGGGGGGGGGAAGCGGCGGTGTCGAGCGTGCTTTGGAAGTCCCAAAACGGTGTGGTGAGAGCACGGTGCGGTGAGTCTGGCGCGTGCTTGATGGTTCAGTCGTTCGCGCAGCTTGGGCCCCAGTTGTCGCATGTAGCGCGGGGCTCATGCACTTTGCGCTTGGCCCCGTACGCGCGTTTTGTCTGGGCCGCGGCGCACTGCTTAACGCGCGAGATTGTCGCCCGACCTGCGCGCATGGTTTTGTCTGGGTGTGTAGTGGGGCGACATCTTGGATCAGACCGCTGCGAGTATGCTGGCGTGCGTTGTGCGAGCACTCTGGCGCTCATCCTGGGGCGCCCTCCGCTGGGCGGTTGGATGCAACGTAGGTTCGCGGAGCTAACACAAATCTTATCCTCTTTATCTCCCTCGTCCACTCTCTCCTCCTCTATCCCTCTCTCCTTCTTCCTTTCCCCCCCCTCCCGTCCTTCCTCTCCTACTCCTTTCTCCTCCACCTCGTCCAGTTTCCTCCACTTCGGCGTCCTCCCACTCCTAAGAGCAGAGCGACCAGCATAGAATGGCAACGGCGGTGGCCAGAAGGGCAACTCGACAAGGCGCATGCCTCACGAGGGCGCATGCCCCCGTCGTGGCGTGCCCAGTCGGTCGCTCACGCGCCCCCTTTTGCCCTGCCACCTCCTTGGAGGTGGCCCTAGGCCACCGTAAGAGTTTGCTCCGCGCACCCCTGGTTCCGCCGGCACGGAATCCCGAAAAAAGTTGAAACGGGTCACCGCCCAGTTTTGGGACTCAGGTGTTTTTTTGAGGATGTCTCGAGCGTCGGTGGGTCGACGAGTCACAAGACCGTGCGGTGACCCCCGGTCCCAAAACGGTGCGGTGACATTTCCAGGATTTCGTGGCCGCCCTGTCCCGGCCCCCGTCCTGGCCAGTGCCCGCCTCGCCCGTCACGGTCGCTAGCCGCTGCCGCGCTCCGCGTCGTCGACCCCCCCGGGTCGGAGTCGGGCCAGCACGGCGTGGCCCCCCGACAGGAAGTACCGGATGAAGAGTAGACGGCGTTCTTATATGCTCCAACATATTGAATACGCCGTGTTGCAGGTGCGGCGTTCGCCGCGCAGGGGTTGGCATCTGTCGGATGGCGTTGGCGCGAGGTCAGGACGAGGGAGGCGAAGCGCAAGATCGCAGCATGAGGTGCATAATTTCGCCATTCGAGCCTTCGCCCCCCCCGTGACGGGCGCCGCGCATGCCCTGACGCAACAGGTTCGTGGCCAACTTTTCGTTGCAATGTCTGGTTGCGTGCGTCCACGGAAAAATCGGCAGCTCAGTGCCGCTAGCGTTTTGGAGCGGTGATGTTTTTCTCGCGCAGGTGCCGCGGTGCGCTTTCAGGGTGTAGCCGCCGCTACAGCAGAGGGCGAGGCATTGCAGCACCAGTGGTAGCATATTGGCTCGGGACTTCCTGACTTGGTGTGGATCCCCTTGTCGTTCGTGGGCGCAGGATGGGGTTCGCGCGAACCCCGCCGCGGACCCTTCTGGAGGGGCCTTGAGTGGAAACGTTGCCTGGCCAGACTAATCCGGGGGTCACCGCCTGGTGCCTCACCGCACCGTTTCAGGACCAGTGCTCCTCCTCCTCCTCCTCCACCCCCTCCTATCCCCTCCCCAACTCACTCCTCTCCATCCTCCCTCCTCCTCCCCCTCATCCTCCTCCTCTTCCTACTCCTCCTCTTTCCTCCTCCTCCTCCTCCTAGTCCTCCTCCTCCTCCTCACTCCTCCTCCTCCTCCCTCCTCCCTCTCCTTCTTCTCTCCTTCCTCCTCCGCCTCCTCCTCCTCCTCCTCATCCTACCTCCTCATCCTCTGAAGCTCGGGCCTCGCACCTCAGAGGCCGGGGACAACCCAGGGCGCGGGGGGGGAAGCTGCGGAGAGAGCCAGCACCGACGCAAGGAACGCAAAGGAGGGGGAGGGGGGAGGAGGAGGGGAGGGGGAGGAAGGGGAGGGGGAGGAGGAGGGGAAAGGGGGGGGGGGGAGGGGAGGAGGAGGAGGAGGAGGAGGAGGGGCAGGCGCGAGAGAGGTAGGAGGAGGAGGAGGAGGAGGAGGAGGAGGAGAGGGAGGAGGAGGGTGCCACCCCGTGGGGCCCAGGTTCGTGAGGATCACCAGCGGGCACGGGGTGAGGAGGGGGAGGCGGCCAGCGAAGGCAGTAGTGAGGCAGAGCATCGCCAGATGTTCGGCAATTGGCACCTCAGCATCGCAGTTATCCGCCATCCTCCGTTTTAGGCCACGAGCTGGGTATCCCCATTCATCGAAAGGCATCACAAGTCAGCTGGTGAAGGGAGCCACCCGTACCCTAACTGACATCCGAGGCGATCATCCTCCCCTGTCGCGTACTCTTCCCATTTCTTTCCTCCCCCTCTCCACCTCCTCCTTCTCCTCCTCCTTCTCCTCCTCCTCCTCCTCCTCCCCTCTCCTCCTCGCTCCGGCCGCCTTCGCCGCCTCCTCCTCCTCTCCTCCTCCTCCTCCTCCTCCTCCGCCTCGGCCGCCTTCGCCTCCTCCTCCTCCTCCTCCTCCTCCTCCTCCTCCTCCTACATTTCTACATTTCTCGCTATGCAGCGTCTTGTCGCGCGCCCCGCGGGCGCGGAGCGCGCCGCAGCGGCCCATCAGGGCCGTGCGGGCACTCGAACAGCGGCCCCGGGAACCCGACCCCGAGGAAAGCAAGGGGAGCCAGGGACCAAGTTAAACCTCAGGGGAGAGAGAAGGGGGCCGGGTTTCAGCAACAAAAAAAAGGGGGCCCGACAGGGCCCATGGGCGGGCGCCGCGCGCGCCCGCGCACGCGGGCGTCAGGCAGCCCTCCTCCTCCTCCTCCTCCTCCTCCTCCTCCTCCTCCTCCTCCTCCCCCCTCCTC